ATGGTGGCTTTACAAAAGTCATAAGTTTAATCAGGGATAAAGCTGCATGCTTTAGCCGTTATCCTAAGGATTGTAATACACTCATCTATCCTTTCATATACATGCTTTTCACAACCAATATTAAGAAAAATAATGAACTTATGGCTAGTGGTTATCCCTCGGAAGAAAATCTTCTTTTGTTCTATGAGGATAATTTGGTTTAAATCCATGTCTCTTTGGGGGTAACAAGCTTATTAAACCTTCGATTGTCTACTTCAATCAAAGCTTCTTCCATTAAACCCATAGATTTTCGAAGATCGTTCGCTAAGTAATCAATATTAGCATTAACAATTCTCTTAGTCGGGCGCGATATGTATATGATCATTTTCTTATTTCTGATGTTTATATACATAAGATTCAGACTTCTTCTATTTTAATTTCCCTTCATTTTCAATTGCATCTAGCCATTGATTTAGGATGGTTTGAAATTTATCTTCTACCCTCTGTCTGTCACATTTAGACATTTTGGGGCAATTTCATCAACTATTTCAACCAATGCTTGAATCTCACAACGTAGATGGCCAAGATCAATCAAACTAAATTTAGCTTTCGAGTTGGAAAACTCATATTTAGATACCATCATGATTTTCTTATGAAAAGATTGTCACTTAAAAAACTTTTAAGGACCAATATATAAATATAAAGTATGGATAGTAGAAAAGTGGTTTGAGCAAATTTTTTGGCTTTGTCGATGTAATTTTGGCCGTGACACTCAATATTGTGAGTAGAAATAACATGAGAAGGTGATTACATTTATAACTACGAATATTTTTAAAAAGGGTTAATAGCATTTGGTACCCTTCTATTGTTGTAAATTAACAAACGTATCCCTTTATTAATTTTTCACAAACGTACCCTTCTATTACCGAAACGTAAAAATTATACCCCTGCCGTCTAATTTTCCGTTAACCAGCTGTTTAATGGGTTGAAAATTACTCAAATACCCCTAATTTCATTTTAATTATTTGTTGCCCAATTCAATTTAAAATTAGGTCTACCCTAAACCGATCCCCACTGTTGGATGAAGTCGGTTGGTGTGAAGCCAAGCAAATCGTTCAATATTGTTAGTTGGTGGATTTCATTCCATTGATCAAACCGCAACGGTTCTCTCCCCTCTCACTTGATTTCAAAAGTAGATTTGTGATGGGCTGCCGTCGGCCTTCACTTTGGGACCGGCGGTAGCCCTTAACCTCTTTTTTACGTTCCTTTTTTTCTTTTACAGTGGTTTCCTTTCCTTTCCTTTCCATTCCATTACATTCCTATACTCTTTTCTTTGTTTTTTCTGGTTCTTTTTCCTTTACGTCTCACGCCTTTAGTGTTGCTTCCCCTGTTTTTTGTCTTGACCTTTCGGTCCTTCCTCCATTTTTGTGATGATGCTCTTCTGGCCTCCCCCGTGGAGATGCTTTTGCACCCCACCAGATCCCAGATCTGTGTGGATGATTTTCCCTGATAGGAGTTTGAGGGGGTTGAGTTCATCGGTTCGCTTGCTACCATCTAATGCGCCATCTACCTCTACATGTTTCATCCATAAATGGCGATTATTCGGAGATGCTTGGACCCTGGCTGTCTTGGATGAAGATTTAGGGGGCTTTTGAGCAGGGACAACTCTGTTGAGATTGGATCCAGTCGAGGGCTAAGATTGGCGATGATTTGGGAGCCTCTCCTCTGTCCAAAGTCTGGGTTTGCTCTTCGTTTTACTTGTTTGTGCAGGTGAAGCACGGAGCTCTCTATGGGATTGGTTCTCTCCATCGAGGTTTCAGCTCTCCTTATTGTCGGCATGTTGGCGATCTTGTGGAGTCGGTGCTGTTTGGAGCTTTGGTCTCCTTCCTCTGGCGTTCCCGTTCGTTTGTCAACGTGAAGGCAGAAAGGAGGTTGGCGGCGCATTCTTGGTGGTGGGGATGCTTTCGGTGGCCATTCCCTCAATGATCGGGTCAGCGGTTGTAGGGTTACTAGGGTTGGGGCTGTCCAAGTGTCTTGGGCCGATGTTTTTGGTTTTGCAGGCCTGTGCCTTGTTGTTCCACTTTAGTTTCAACCCTATTTGTGTTGGTTTTTTCGTCCTTCTTTCAATGTTGTAAATTCTGCACACCGTGTTTCGTTATTAATAAAATGACCATCCAACGTTTTAAAAAAAAATCAAACCGCAACTCTACTATCCAAAGCTCAAATAATAGGGTGTCGTCTGCTTTCTCGGCGGAGGAGAAGAAGCTGTGAAAGTCGGGAGATTTTTTATCAACTCCAGCCACTCGCCGTCTTAACCGTTGCATCTGCTCCAGCCACCGGCGAGGAAAAGCCGGTGCAGCCGCTGACGAGGGCAATTAATCAAGGTACGCCGGAGTACCAATCGAAAGGGGAGTCTTCAATCTTCAACGGTGGCGAGGGAGAAAGGGTGCTTTCTGTCTGCTCCAGCCTCTGCGTCGGAGTCTAGGGGAGTCTTTGACGATGGCATGGGGGAGTCTTCGACGGTGGCGGGGAGTGAGGAATTCGAAAATAGAGGGGGGTCGGTTTGGGTAGGTTTAATATTTAATTGAATTGGACAACAAATAATTAAAACGAATTAGGAGTTTTTTTTTTGTCAAGAGATATCATGTATTGATAAAAAAATAGACAGTTACACCCTGGAAACTAGCCAGGCCTGGAAATCAAAGAAGCGACTCATAGTTGGATACAAAGAAAAGGCTTTTCTAGCTACCAAATGAGCTACCCTATTGTTCTCCCGACCTACAAAACGCACACTAAAGCCTGGCTGAGTACGAAAATGTTGACCAATCTCTTCCAGAACGGCACCCAACCGGCTATCTCTTGGGTCGGCTTGATTAATTTTATCAATAATCACCTTCGCATCGCCCTCAAACCGGACCTCCGACAAGCCTAGCTCCACACACCACAAAATAGCTTCCCTGAGCACCAGCAATTCCACCACCATAGGGTCATCCAATTTAGAAAACTGAACCGCTTTAGCCAAAAGGAGTGTCCGCGCAGGGTCAAAAAGAACCATCCCACCAGTCGAGTGCAACCCACCCTTCGTAGGAGCTTGGTCTGCTGGTAGACCTACCCATTCCTCGTACTGTTGGTTAAATTGGCGCATGAGTGCCAGGATCCCAAATTGTTTGCCTTCAAAGACAACCCAATTTCGAGATCGCCAGATCCTCCAGAGGACGGCAACAACAGCCATAACCAAAGACGGTTGATGAATCAAAGCCAACAGACGTTTGAGAAACAAAGAAAAAGTGTGCCGAGGCAAACCCTCCCCCAAGTATTCCAGTCCTGAGTAGTCCCAGAGAGCCCGAGCGACCGGACAATAAAGGAACATGTGCTCCATCGTCTCCTGGCCATCCCAGCAAACTGGACACCGAGGTAACACCTGGGCCTTTTTCTCAATAAGCGCCTCAGTAGTTGGAAGGGCCCGATTAAGAATTTGCCAAACGAAAACTTTCAACTTCGGAGGGATCTTTGCGTCCCACACTCTAATCCAACTCGGCTTATCCATCCAGCTAACTGAGGACCGCCACCCACCCCTTCTCCTGCCCAAGTTGACAGTCAAATGGTAAGCCGACTTAACTGAGAACACCCCATCAGCCGTAAAATGCCAAATAAGCTTATCAGGCACATCCCATCTCGGGAGAGGAATAGCTTTAATAGCCCTACAGGTGGGCGGGTCAAACCATTGACTGAGCTTCTCATCAGACCACCTCCCTCCTCCCTCACACATAACCTCCGTCACCAATGGATCACCCACCTCAGGCAGGATCCGCGGATTATAGTATGGGGGATCTAATTGACACCTAGGTATCCAGTTAGAATGAAGGAGAGAGACCGATTGGCCATTCCCGACCTGCCATCTTAAACCCATCTCCAACAAATGACGCCCATGAAGGATACTCTGCCACCCCCAAGAGGGACGAGACCGAGCCTTGGCAGTCAGGAAAGACCCGATCTTAGCCAAAAGAGCTTGATTGAAACGAATTAGGAGTAAATCAGGGGTGTTTGAGTAATTTTCAACCGATTAAACGGCTGGTTAATGGAGAATTAGACGGTAGGTGTATAGTTGTTACGTTTTTGTAGTAGAAGGGTACGTTTGTGCAAAAAATTAGTAGAGGGTACGTTTGTTAATTTGCAATCAACCCTTTTAAAAAACTGAATCGCTATTCGTCGCCCTAAATTTTAAAAAATTTCGCCCTAAACCATATTGAATTGACCCTTAACTCCAATTTCCAAAATCCCCACATCCTTGTGTCGTTCCGTGTCCACCACCTGATTGCCGGCTGCCGCTGCCGTTCCCCAAACCCGCCACTGTCGTTCTGATTGTCGTGTGTGTGTGTGAATGTGACTTGGTTACTGGAATCACTGCTTTAGCTAGCTCTGGTTCCTCTTTTCTTCCTTTCCTTTTTGTTTGGTGCTGCCTCTCGCTTCTGCTTGGCTCAGTAGCAACGGTGTCGCCGAGTGCACGGCGTGGAGACACCGGATGGTCGGATTTATGGGATATTTGATTCCCACCGGCAACCGATTGTTTCGCAGCCATGGACGTGGAGGATCTTCTTCTCCTTTTCTGGACTACAATGGCGGATCTGAGCCTCCAATGATTTGTTACTCGCATCTGATTTCATTCAAGCACTACTTCAAAAAAAAAAAAAAAAATTCATACTTAAAAGTTCCAATTTACTAGTAAAAAAAAAGAGTGTTCCAATTTAAGTTTTCAGTACGGCTTGTGAATGCTAAAGTTGTGATTTCAGTAACCAAGTCACCATGGTGATTGTTTATTTTTTTATTATTACATGGTGATTGTTTTATTTTTTAAGATAGAAAAAAAATAAAAATAAACTAAAGCGTTAAAGTAAATTTAATACAATTAGAGCAACGAATAAAGGATTTTAGGGCAACGAATAACAATCCCAAAAAATGCTATAAAAAAACAAGCTTAATGGCATAGAAAGGAATAAAAAGAGAATCCAAACCACCAGAAGTCCATCAATCCAATAGTAACATTTTTTTTTTGCATAACATTAATAGAAAGTGTGAGGGTAATACCCATTACACCATACAATTACATAATACAACAAATGTTTCAGGTTAGGGTAACACACATTGAATTGATGTGTGGCAAAAGGAAGAACATGACCCCTAGAAGCCAAAAAACAGTCACCTCTCTCTCACACTTCCATCAACTCGTTACGTTACACCTTCAAAAACTGTGGCTAGATCATCTGTTAGTTCTGCTGAGCCACAAGCTGATCTATCTGGAGCTGCTCAATCCACGCTCCCATGGCCTTATCAATCGAATCAATCTGCGAGTTCACATTCATTGAGATACTCTCACCTGAAGAAGGAAAGCTACCACTAACTTGCTGCATTGGCATCATCTTCTCTTTCATTTCAGCTGGAGACTCCTTGACCAGGGACTGAACCCACGATAAGTCCGGCTCGTCCCCATTCCCGAGCTCGAACGAGTTTGACCTCCGAAGCTTCCCAAGCTCGTTGGTGCTGGCAGTCCAGTCCGGTCTCCCACCCGACGAGCCCCATCTCGACAAATGCACCGGTGACCCCCCACCACCGATGAGGGCAGATGGAATGTTCGACCCCAGCTCCCTCGAGCTCAGACTTCTCAGCTGCTGCTTCTCCCGCTGAGCCAGCAACGAAATCCGAGCGCTCATTGGCGAAATGGGCTCCACTACATTGCGTGGCGACGACATCTGCAACAGCGCAGCGGGGTGATCAACCACGCTCCTTGGGGAGAAGCTGGTGTTGATGGGAGACAACATGCTCTGCTGCTGCTGGAACTGATGATTCATAACCGATGACTTGTGGGTCGGGGAGAAGACCATTCCTTGATCGGCATAGCGAGGAGAGTACGACGAGGTCTCGGCAGAGAAGAGGTCGTCAAGGTTTGACGGCGTCAGGATCTTCATACGACCAGAGCGGTTCAATGAGTTGTTATTGTTGTTGTTAGTGAGAGCAGATAGCTCGTCGAAGATCTGCATATCGAAATCCGGCAGCAAGCCGTTGTAGTCCCCTCCAATGGGGATATCCCTCGCGTGAAGGGAAGATCTCAACCGACTTGACTGGAGATTACTACTTCCTCCTGGCAGATGCAATGCCGGAACTCCATTCCCTTGTTGCTGTTGTGGTCCCCAAGCATTTGACATGCCGTTATTACCAGAGGGAGACATAGGTGGAGTGAACGGCGACGAAGGGGAGCCAGGTGGCAGCATGCTCATCGCAGCAGCAAAATCCATCCCGGAAGTGGCGCTGGAGCGAGGTGAAGGGACAGCTGAGCCAGTCGTGACATACAAAGGACGAAGTTCTTCCACAGTATGAGCAAAGAAGCAGACTCTCCTGGCACAACTGGTGCCATCTTTGCACAGCCTGGTGCGATACTGAGCAGGGTGAAGCCAGCATTCAAACACACCATGGGCATACTCACACATATCTCCACGTCTGCATGCACCTTTCCTGAAATCGGGACATGGAACACAGCTGTAGTGATACTTTCTGGGGTCCCTCCTACGAGCATTCTCCCCCGGGTGGACGAAGGGGCACTCTGTCCAATCGTGAGAGTAGGCACGAGAGCATGGTCGGACCTTGAACGAATACATCCTGAAGTCGTCAGTAGAATACACACTGTTCTTTATGTCTGGTAACGATGGATCGATCGGATATTCCTTCTTCTCGAATAGAGTAGGCAGCGGGTCCATCTTTGCATACTTCATGGGAGAATCTGCACCATTATTCTCCATGGACGGGGAGAGAGGTGGAGAGTCGTTACTGTGAGTGCTGTTGGCAATGAAAACCCTCAGATTACTCCGCTCGGTCACAGAACCTTGATCGGGGCAAAGCAGCTGTTCAAGGGTCAACTTCATCTCTCGCAGCCTTGGCGGGACAACGATGATATCAACCGGACACAGACCATTGCCATCTACCACTTTAGGATCAGCACCAGCTGATAACAAGAGCTTGACAGCATCAACAGCATTTGCTGCGCCACCAGAAGCAGCACAGTGAAGCGCGGTGGTGTTGTCGACGCCACAGGCTTGGTTGATGTCAGCCTGAGAGAAGGCGAGAATCAGCTTCATCACACCAACACTGGCGTAAGTTGCTGCAACCATCAGAGGTGTCCTCTGCTCGTTGACCATCTGTTTGGACCCCTTTCGACGACAGTACCATAGTCCTATCTCGTCCACGCAACAAGGGTCTAGCTCGATCGAGAGCTTGAAGCTCTCAACGTCATCGTTGGCTGCTAGCTCGAGCAAGCTGGCTAGGGCATCATCAGTCGAAATCGTCAGCTGATTTTGATGATTATTCATGGTGGTGGCTCTACTGCTTTCCTCAAGAGTAATTGAAGATGGTGATGGAGCTGGTGATGATGACAAAGATGGAGACTCCTCGGGCTTTAGCCGCCCCAAACTGCAGCACATCGTGTCATTGGTGAATGTTTCTTCCAGCTACAAATAGACAAAAAGGAGCTCGATTTATCAGAACCGGCATAGAAACCATATCTGGGTTTAATAAGCATAGAGTTTTCATTTCTGCTTAAACATGGATGATTGAAGAACAATCAAACAAATTAACAAAAGGACAACAAAGGGGATTGGGTTAAACAAAAGCACTCGACTTCCTTCTTCAGCTGAATTATATAATCAATCAAAATAATACAAACAACGATCAAAACAAAGGAAGCAACGATTATTTCCATGCTAACTTTCCCCCCTCTTCTCCTCGGTTTTCTCGGTAGCCAAACGAAGTAGACCGAAGTAAAGCAAACACAAAATCAATCCAATCAATAGAAAAGGACAAAAATCAATTGAGCGAAAGCAAAAGAGGAGCAACAGCAGATCAACAGCAAGAGAAAAATCTAATCCGCAGGTGTGGCGGGCGATCATCGGAACAAACTAAAAGCAAAGCTTAAACGCGATTTCATTTCTGTGCGAGTATATCTTCTTCCACTTCAATGGGGGTTTTCATTTTTCGGGCTGTAATAAGTATAAATGGAGGAGAAAAAGGTTTTACGTTTACCTGGAAATGGGTAATTAGTTGGAGTAATAAACCGGCGCCCGCCGCCGCCGCCGCCGCCGCCGCCGCCGCCGCCGTCTCTCGGTGCGCTCTCTTTCAGTCACAGATCTAGACAAGGTGATGACTCAGAGAGACAAGGTCTCTTTTTGTTTCTCGGGAAAACAGTGAGAGAAAACTTTTTGCTAAGAACTAGAGAGGGAGAGAGAAGGCGAAGGAAGGAGGGAGGGAAGGATGAAAAACGGTAGAAAATTGAAAAAGATATTAGGGTGAAAATTAATAAAATAGCCCTTGATTCGAGGGCTATTTTGATGAAATGCAAGTTCTGAGGTATTGGATTGTACTTGTGTTAAGTAAGTCCTTATTTGTCTGCTTGGAGATAATTTAGGTGTGGATTAGTAATTTTCAGTAGAATCTTAAGAAAATCCGAAAAAACCCTTCTCCTTTCTCTCTATGCTGCTTCTCTTCTCTTCTTCTTCTCCTTCAGTTCGTTCCCCGTTCTTCCCACTTCCCCTACTCGATCACGTTGGTGACGGCGTCCCGCCCCTCGCCGCTGCTAGTGGACAGTCGTCGGTCTGATTTCTGGCCCGATTAGGATCTTTTGCGAGTACATTCTCTGTCGCGAGCCGCGACGTCTTCTTGCCCGCCGCCACCACATCTGTTCACAGTTTTTCCATCTTCGTCCGCAGGTAACGACCCTTTGTTTTATTCGATAGACTACCCTGAACGGCAACGGCACATACCAAAAGTACTTCGAAGAAGTTTACCTTGACAAATTGTGCTTGGATAGAATAAGCTAAGACTATAGTGAGAAGCAGAAGAGGGGATTGATTCTAGGCGGAAATCAATAGGAAACTTCGCGGCTGCCAGCGTCTAGGAAATGTTTGTACTAGTTTGAACCTATTTATGATTGAACATTGATTGGTTTTGCTCCTCTGTTGTTGACCCTGTTGGTGCAGGCTGCTGAGCTATGGTGGGTTGGCAAAGACTTGTTTTACAGACACTGTATCGTCAAGCTGGGAGAAGGGTAGTGCCCTCTAGTCAAACCACCTTTGCCAAGTCCTCATCTTCATGCGGGGCGGCATCCTCTGTTTTCCCCGGTTAGTCAATAGTCAGATATGAAACTATTTGCTAACCATCTGTACTACATCTTTTGCAATTGGGTGACCGCTGTATTGTTATTTACTTGTTGTTAGCTCTCTTTAGTTGTGTTTTCCCCCCTTAATGTTTTCTACATTCAAACCAATAAAAAAGGTTACTTTGAATAATTGCAGGCAAATCAAATTGTTTGGAGACGTTTTGGAACCCATCATCATCATCGCTGCGGCCTCTTTATCAGTATTTGCAACATGCGGTACTTGCTACGACTTTGATCTTTCACTTATACTGTTATTATTTCCGCATGGATGAACAAAAATCAGAGCCTAGAATTGTCATACGAAAAATTAGTACACAAGTTCGTGAACATGTTGCGTTTGTTGTGTGAGTTCTGTAAGTTAAACTTACTCACCTGCTATCAACCTGTAAAGATACAAAGGCCAGCCATAAATGATATCCGTGAGAAATTCTATTTCTTTTGTTGATCGTGCCATCTTTGGCAGCGAAGTGAATTCCTTATATGTTAGTTTCGATATAACTGTTATTTTGATTGTAGATGTATACATGTTGATCTTTTGGGGATCACTAATTTCAGTTTGAACTATGTATAGGACACCATTTATGATATGACTTGAAAACATGGAGTTAGCCATATAAGTTCTATCAGCGTTACATGCATGTTGGAGACTAGCAAAAAGGGCAAATGACATTTTTCACACTACTTGGCTATGAAATTGTAGAACTGTTGTGTATCTTTCACCGTCCACTTGAATGATCATTTCTAGAGCTTTTCATTTAACCTGACTTATCTAGCTCTAGTTTTTACTTCATAAACCTCTTCATCAAATGCTGTTATCCTGTCTTCTGAATGTCATCCTCTCGTCAATGTTGTATCGTTTATGGCTTCAGGGAATTTCCTATTCAAGGACAATGCTGGCTGATTCGTCAGAGGATAAACCTATTCCTTCTCCATTGACTCCTCCTGTCCTAGCTTTGGATAGCGGAAAAGCTGAAGACCAGAAGGCAGTCTCCAAACCTGCTACTGTTCAAGCTGTACTGAAGGGGATAAAGCAGGTGAGATTTTAGGATGACATGCTTTCTGTGTTACAGTTATACATCATTATTCCTACCAACCTTTCCTTGCTGAACATTTCCCTCAATTTCAAATGATAATGAGGTGCCTGAGTGAGTCTCCTTGGTATTTTTGTTTAAGAAATGGTTGATTCGTTGTCATAAGGTTCTTTATCATTTTTTGCTGTCTAGGTCTTGCTTGCTAATTTGACTACTTGATAATCGTCCTCATCAGTGCACCAGCAGTTTGACACTTAAATGCAATTGATTAACGCTACTTTCATCAACTAAGGTTGCACATGTCAGCATTGAAAATTATGGGGTCGTTATTGCTATAATATTAGATGCTAAGAGGAACTGTCATTAGTCGTTCTTTTGCAGCCATTCGTGTTGCTTAAGCGACAGTTCAAAGTTCCTGCACTTTGTCTTGCTAACATATATTATTGCTATAGACGTACATCTCGTTTATTTATATGTCATGCAGTTGAACAAAAATGAAAGTGTCTGCACTAGGAAACCTGTTGAGCGATGAATGTGGTAATTGAACTGAATGGTATCACACAGAACCATCTGAGCTGATATCTCTCTATTCCATGTCCTGTGTGCACAAATGTGGTAGAAGAGATCACATTTTTACCAGATCTTCAATCCTTGGTTCTTCTATTCCCTGCAAATGTGGTTGGTGATGCCATCAAATATGAATATCGATGTCAGAATTATTTTAGATTGTTATGACAAATCGATCAATTAATTTTGGCTGGCTGATTGTGCAGAGTCCCAAGAAGGTCAACTTGGTTGCTGCGCTAGTTCGTGGCATGCGAGTTGAAGATGCATTGTTGCAGTTGCAAGTGACCGTGAAAAGGGCTGCAAAAACTGTTTACCAGGTTGGTTAATCAGTCTGTTATTAGTTAATAGGAATCGTCACATAGTTGAGACTGAGAGACATAATTTTTCAGGGCCAGGTTCCTGGTTTTACACATTTTTATATAAGTTTGTGGAAACTGGCATTTATGTTTGTAGGAAATAGGAATCAGAATATTTTGTTGTTATTCATTCCTCAGACTAGCATTTTCCCAGATAAATAAACAACTAAACAAGACATTGATTTTTACTCCCATGAACAAGGATACTGATTGAGCTATCTGGAGCATGAACTGTGTCTCTCTGTTCCTGATATCATATGAGTCAGAGTTATACATCCATTTTCACTTCTTTTTCGATAATAAGCAATGATCATGGAACTAATATATATCGCGATCGTCTGGATTAATGTATTGCAGGTCATCCATTCAGCACGAGCGAATGCAACACATAATCATGGGCTGGATCCAGACCGTCTACTCGTTGGTAAGTAGCATGCGACGTAAACTTTCCTAATTTTTACTGGGTGCTTTGCCTCTCTTATTCAGTAGCTTTTTTGTTGTTGTTAATCTGCTGCAGCTGAGGCATTCCTGGGGAAGGGGCGCTTCATAAAGAGAGTCTCGTATCATTCCAAAGGGAGGCATGGAATCAAAGTGAGACCGGAGTGTCGATTGACGGTTGTAGTGAGGGAGACAACCCCAGAGGAGGAGGCCCATATAGCCAAGCTGAAGGTGAACAACTTCCGCAAGCTGACAAAGCGGGAGAAGCGTCTTGTCCCTCACAAACTTATTGAGATCGAACCAGTTTGGGGCCGTAAAAGCAGAAATCACGAATCGAGAGCTTCTGCTGAATAACCTGTGTTCTAAGAGATGTGGTGAGGTCAACCTTTGTTTCTGTTTGGTGAAAGTTCAATCCCATGTTTTAGTCATTGTGGCACGCCCAGTTAATGCCACTGGTTTTAGGGAGAGGTGTATTTAGCTGATTCTGTTACCAGTTAGTTTCTATTTTTCGATAGAGATTTGTACACTGCTTTTGATGCATGTCTAGAGCTGTTTCATTAGAAGAGAAATAAGAACTCGGTTAACAGGGTTGACAATTTCTATCTGATCCATTTGATCTTGTTCCACAATAGAGCTGTTCTTGCCCTGTTTTATCTCTGACAAAACCATTGAACACAGAACACGAAAAGTGTACTCTGTTCACACACTAACCACTCCATCTTTGCTCTCTCTCTCTGTTAGCTGAATGGTTTTTGTGATTCCAACTAAGTTTTGGCTTCTCAGCTCTCTATCTCCATGCCCGATCCCTCTCTACTCCCATTATGGTTCGGCGGGCCATCAGCTCAGCTGGGTAATGAAGCTCAAAATTTAGGCAATCTCTGCTGGGGTTTTTTACATGGACATCAAGTTTCAAGCTTTGTGGGTCTTTGACCCGTTTGTCTCTTCAGAATGACTGGTCGCCCACCAACTGTTTGACTGAGTGCCTGAACCACTTGGATTTGTCTGTCCATTGTGGCCTGTGGGTATCATTTTCAATCTTCAATTCTTCCCCCGTTTCCTCTTTCTTAGTCAGATATTGATGTTTGAAGTTGGAAATTTGCGTACCAATGTTATTTTCTCGACCCTGGTAAGTCATATCCATGCCCTGACACTGGCAACCGTTGGCCTACAATCAAGGGTCCCATATCTGCCTAAAAAGGTTCCATCTTTATTATGTTTCCCCACTCACCTGTCCTCCGCCGTTGAAAACTGGAAAAAGGAATGAAAAATCCATCTTTCTTTGCTTTTTACCTTTGGCTGTTTATTTGGTAGGGTAAGGCCCCCATGGATGAATGCACGCTTCCGAACAACAACCAACTAGCTGCAGGGAAAGACCTTCGAATGGCCATCGATGAGAAGATGTTCTGAAACGCCGTGTTCAAAACATCACAAGAACTTGGTGAGGCTGGTGAGGGGGCACTGCTGCGAATCGGAGCACATAAGATGAAGCTAGTGGCGGTTAGTTCGTGAAGTGAAGAAGGAGAGTGGGGGCCTTATAAATGTGGCAATGATGATTGCGAGTGGATTTTCTGGAAATGGAAGTTGGGAAACATGGGAATGGTAGTCGATCAGAGACTTCTTGATGATTGGTGGCGAGATTGATGCAGAGGAAGTAGAGAGATTGGTGCATTCAGGAGGAAGTGCGAATGAGATCGGTGATGGATGAGGTGATTGAAGTGTTGGAAGAGATGTTAATCCGTCGATCCTCCCCCTTTTCTGTTCACTTCCACATCAGCAGAAGCACGATCGTAGTCAAGGTGCGAGCTTTCTCGTTCTCAGTATGTACAGTAGGACTAACCATGTTAGAGGAGGTGACACGATTAGCTTATTCTTGTCAAGTTTTGACCTTGTTATGGTTTAACATTAGGATGTTAAGTTCCAAGGTCATAATAACTTATTGAACAAGGTAACCCAAAAAGGGGGTCAAGATCTTATCAGTATTTGGTAAGGGTTATCTTAAACAAAATAATCCTGTTGGTGGTAGCAGTTGCTGTGTATTTGTAGTATACATGGCTTGGATTTTACTTCCCTGCTTTGAATAGGTAGGGTTTAGGTAAAGCTATTCAAAGTCCATGCATACGTATTAAAGGCGGGCGCGTGCATTTGGAATGTTCCTGTTGCTTTCTTCTTACACAAACTGCCTCCCTTGCAGGTTCCAAAGCTTTCCATTTGTGGGGAACTCTTACCTGCTCATCTGCAAAATGCCAATTGTAGCAGTTAGTTAGCAGCAACATTACCCAATCAATCCACATTCTGCTTATATAAACCAGCACAGTCGTTGTGAACGTTGTGCCACATTATCCACAGGATTGGGTTCATCAGGTTCTCCATCGATCGATCGAATGGCTCCGTCTTTGAAGACGAGAATGGGAAGATGCAATCGGCAAGGAGTAGTAGTTGAGGTTCCTGCTGATGATCAAGGCGGCTGCTCTACACCAAAGGGTCGAAGATTCAGAATCCCAGAGCCACTGTCCTGCCCACCAGCTCCAATGAAGGCAAAATCAGCTCCTAAAAACTGCTCATCAAGAGTTTCCTCATCTACTGCCGCCTTTTTTGCTCCTCTGGAGGAGGAGCTAGAGCTCTTCTTCCTGTTTGCATTTCGTAAGATTTGAGGAAAAGTGTCGAGTTGTTTGTCTGCAACATCTGGTGATGCAGAAAGAGTAGTTCCACTTTAGCCAGCGAGATATCATGGGTTGGGAAGCTGCTTCTTATTAGCTTTCATTTTTTGTTATATTATGAGGATGGACGTATGGAGTTGTAGAATTGATGTATTGGAGCGAGCCGATATGAGGACTCTGTATGGCTGGCTCTGGCTTAGTTACCATGTGAAAGAATAACGCCAGCATAAGCAAGATTGGAATTTCCATGCCATGAAACATCAGATAACTCCTAAAATACAGATTGAGTGATGCGAGTTGAACTTAAACACCAAGGATAGGGGAAACAGGTTAGGCATATGCTACTAAATAAGCTTTAGATGAAAAAAAAAAAAGGTAAGGAGAGAGTGGCAAATATTCAAGGTTCCAGCCTGAACAATAAACACATGATGCTTATTGATGCAGTCTCATAAAACATCAACTTTGAGAATACAACATGCAAACTATACTTATTATTATTTGAAAGCAACAGTTTTCTTGCTCAAGCAGTACCATACGTCTTGGTGGGTAGATTAAGATGAGAACAACAAACACCTAGCAGTAAGCAAGCAAAAGTGTAGTCGATGAAAAAAAAAAAACAGTGGTACTGACTGTCACATTAATTATTAAATAATTAAAAGCACAAACACTTTCCTAAGAAAAAATATTCTATTTTTTCCCCACGAGTACTGTTCACAATGAGGTTTTTATCACATGTACCCAATTTTACCATAATCTTTTCCCCCCTCTTTTTCACTAAACTATTCATATGAGTTTTATTCACTAACAACCAATTCCTACGATAAGTCTAAAACTCATGAAATTCGACAATAAGTTTTTTCTCTACATTCAATTTAACATTATACAAACATTTCGTAGATGCATTGTTGCTTACGAAAAAAGTAGGTCAACATAAAAATGAGTTCCGATTGTAATATTCGCATAGAGGGTTTATTACATACATCAAATTTATTGCAAGTCTTTTTTAAGTTCTTCTTATGAACTCCTAAGTCTTCTTCTATTACCAGATGATTTAAATTTTACTAATATTAATTGTAACATTTACCATTTCATCAAATTAAGTACACCCATTTATTATTTTATTACTTGATTTTACTATTAGATCGCACTTTATGAAATATTTATGTACTATTATAAATTTCAGAATCTCATCAATTTATGTAACATAAAGGTTTCACAAATAAGTCAACTTTACATAAAAGTAATCAATTGTGACATTTTTTTTAATTTGATGTTGATAAGGCAAAAATTGCTAACATTGTTCTATTGTAGATTACCAATACATTATGTAAAATTCAATTTGCATTTACAAAGGTTCCGTAAACCAATCAACTTTACGAGTAATCAAATGTGACACTTTTTATAACTTGAAATTATCATTAGACCAAATTGCAAAGAATCCATGTAACACTATTCTATCGTAAATTACCAATACATTATGTATTTCATCAATCTGTAATACACAAAATGGTTTGAAAGGTAAGTTACTTTTACCTAACAAAGCAAGATGCCCGTCATCAAGGTCGTTTCATGATATTCGGAGGCCTTGTTCGACTATTTAAAATGTGGCCCCAAAATTTTTTCTTACAAATTAATTAAAAATAAAAATTACATAACTTCGCAAAATTATTAAAAAATTAATAATATTATTTATTTTCAAATATTCAAATATTATCTACCCTTAGAACTGCCTTTTCAATTTTTTGGGTTGACATAATTAAAAATTATAACCAAAGATTAATGATTCCGAATTTCCAATCAATATAAGTTCCCCGCAAAAGAAAAAAAAAAAGAGATTATAAATTAAAACAAGTTGATTAGGAGTCTAGATAGTAGGGACTGGATCCTTGTCGTGGTGAATCTGTTGTGGGGACTCACCGGCACAGCCTCGCTGCTGGACGTCTCGTGGTGGATTTTGAAGGGTTTTTTAGAGAAAAGTGTAGGGTATCCAAAAGACCAAAACACATTGTATTGCACTTTATATATAAAAGTGTCTCCTCCTAGTTCCTCTTTTACTAAACAGTAAACCCTATTTCCATTTTTCTTTCTGAGAATCACCATGGATGAGAAACAAATTTCTGGTGGAGTTCCGGCATCGCAACTAAGAGGAAAGCCGAGGAAGAAGGATGAAATGCAAACCCAACACCCTAGCATCCCATATCCAAAACTAGTGGACATGATTCACAACAATAGACTTCACGGAAAAGAGGCTATTTTCGAGTGATGGTGAAATATTTGGATCCTGTTCTCCACCGACGATTAAGTCTATTAAGAATCATTTTGAGGGAATTACTTTTAGAATGATATTTTCGTAATTTTTTGGGTGATTTGTTTTCTAAAGGCAATTTTACTTGGATTTTAAAGGCTACAGAGCACATATTAGGCCTGAGACTATTCTTCAAGGATGATTAAGTCCATTAAGCACCCATTTGGGCAGATTTATTCTTGGTCAATTTATGTCAGTTTCCAAATGGGTACCATCACAGATTTCATGTGATTTTCCCGAAATGCCATTTTCTTTCGATTTTAAATGCTACGGATCATTGATTCGGCCCGAGGCTATTCTCCATTGATAGTGAAGTCTATGGAACCTATTCTCCGCCTACGATTAAGTCCATTAAGCAACAATTTGGGGGAATTACTTTTAGGATGACATTTTCATAAATTTTAGGGCGATTTTTTTTAAAGGTCCATTTTACTTGGATTTTGAAGGCTACGAATCCCAGATTCGGCCTAAGTCTATTAAGCACCGATTTGGGCGGATTTATTACAGGTCAATTTTTGTCAGATTCCAAAGGGGTATCATCACAGATTTCGGGCAATTTTCTCGAAATGACATTTTCTTTCGATTTTGAAGTCTACGGATCACGGATCAGGCGAGAGGCTATTCTCCATCGGTGGTGAAGTCTATGGATCCTGTTCTCCACCGACGTTTAAGTCCATTTAGCAACAATTTGGGGAATCACTTTTAGGGTGGCATTTTCGTAATTTTTTGGATGATTTTTTTCGAAGGTCCATTTTACTTTGATTTTGAAAGCTACAGATCACTGATTCGGCCTAAGACTATTCTTCAAGGATGATTAAGTTCATTAAGCACCAATTTGGGCGGATTTATTATGGGTCAATTTTTGTAAGATTTCAAAGGGGTACCATCATAGATTTCAGGCGATTTTCCCGAAATGTCATTTTCTTTCGATTTTGAAGACTACGGATCACGGATCGGGCCGGAGGCTATTCTCCACTGATGGTGAAGTCTATGGATCTTGTTCCCCGCCGACGATTAAGTCAATTAAGCAACAATTTGGGCGAATTACTTTTAGGATGACATTTTCGTAAATTATTGGGCGATTTTTTTTTCCCGAAGGGCCATTTTTCTTGGACTTTGAATGCTATAGATCACAAATTCGGTCTGAGACTATTTTTCAAGTTTTATTAAGTCCATTCAACACCCATTTGGGCATATTTATTCTGGGTCAATTTTTGTCATATTTCAAAGGGGTACCATCACAAATTTCGGGCGATTTTTCCGAAATGTCATTTTTTATTATTTTGAATGCTACAGATCAGTGATTCGGCCTGAGGCTATTCTCCACCAATGGTGAAGTCTATGGATTCTATTCTCCGCCTACGATTAAGTCCATTCAGCAATAATTTAGGGGAATTAACTTTTAGTATGTAATTTTCGTAAATTTTTGGGCGGATTTTTTTCCGAATGGCCATTTTACTAGGATTTTGAAGGCTTCAGATCATAAATTTGGCTTGGGGCTATTCTTCAACGATGATTAAGTCCATTAAGCACCGATTTCGGCGAATTTATTCCGGGTCAATTTTTGTTAGATTCCAAAGGGGTACCATCATAGATTTCAGGTAATTTTCCCTAAAATGACATTTTCTTGAGATTTTGAAGGCTACTGATCACGGATCGGGCCAGAGGCTATTCTCCACCGATGGTGAAGTCTATGGATCATGTTCTCCACCGACAATTAAGTCCATTAAGCAATAATTTGGGGAATTACTTTTAGAATGGCATTTTCGTATTTTTTTGGGCAATTTTTTTCGAATGTCCCTTTTACATGGATTTTGAAAGCTAAACATCACAGATTCGGCCTGAGACTATTCTTCAGGGATGATTAAGTTCATTAAGCACCAATTTGAGCAGATTTATTCCGGATCAATTTTTGTCAGATTCCAAAGGGGTACCATCACAGATTTCGGGCGATTTTCCCTAAATGACATTTTCTTTAGATTTTGAAGGCTACAGATCACGGATCAGGTCAGAGGCTATTCTCCACCGATGGTGAAGTCTATGGATACTGTTCTCCACCGACGATTAAGTCCATTGAACAACAATTTGGCGGAATTACTTTTAGGATGACATTTTCGTAATTTTTTGGGCGATTTTTTTAGAAGGGCCATTTTACTTGGATTTTGAAGACTATTTTTCAAGTATGATTAATTCCATTAAGCACCTATTTGTGCATATTTATTCCGGGTCAATTTTTGTCAGATTCCAAAGGGGTACCATCATAGATTTCGGGCGATTTTCCCGAAAAGTCATTTTTCCGATTTTGAATGCTACGGATCAGTGATTCGGCCCGAGGCTATTCTCCACCGATGGTAAAGTCTATGGATCCTATTCTCCGCCTACGATTAAGTCCATTCAACAAGAATTTCGAAGATCGTTCTTGATTATCTTCATAACTGAAAATGCTCTTTCGCAGCTTGCAGTTGCAACAGGTAAAGTCAACACCAAGTAAACTAAAGGATAAAGAGTGTCCGCCTGGGCTATTGGCCACTTGGCCTGTGGTTTTTTTTTCCCTTCTCTTTTAATTATAGGCCCAGACCCAACACACATCACACATATATATTGTATGGGCTGAGAGTCTGTTTTTTTAATAGGAAGTGATAGGATTATGATTTATGAGTTATTTTAAACAAAATTAAAATGGATTATGATTAAGATTGATTCATTTGGATAATAAATTCTTTGACTATAATGAAGGTGTGTCGGCTATAATTATTGAAGGTGTGTCGGCTATTCCGAAGTAAAAAAATTTGTACAAAAAATATATAGGTTCTTCGCAAAATTGTCGAGCGAGGGTGTGTAGCCTTAGGTCCGCCGCTGATTAAGTCCATTCAACAAGAATTTGGGGGAATTACTTTTAGTATGGAATTTTCGTAAAATTTTGGGTGATTTTTTTTTCGAAGGGCCATTTTACATGGATTTTAAAGGCTACAGATCACATATTCGGCCTGAGACTATTCTTCAAGGATGATTAAATCGATTAAGCACCCATTTGGACATATTTATTCCGGTTCAATTTTTGTTCAAATTCCAAAGTGGTACCATCACAGAGTTCGGGCGATTTTCCCGAAATGCAATTTTCTTTTGATTTTGAATCCTACGGATCACTGATTCGGCCCGAGGCTAGTATCCACCTGATGGTGAAGTCTATAGATCCTATTCTCCGCCTTCGATTAAGTCCATTAAGCAACAATTTGGATGAACTACTTTTAGGATGACATTTTCATAAATTTTTGGGAGAAAGGTCATTCTACTTGGATTATGAAGGCCGGAATTTAATTTTTTTCACAGTTAGATCAGATTAATTGTGTTCTTCAAAATGATATCCACTTTGATATATTTTTCGAACAAAAAAAATTGACCCATTTTTTACCGGTCTATACCATATGATATTGACTGGTATTGAAATAAGAGCATACCTATGGTTTGAAAAGCGTACCATGGTGGTATGAACAAATCAAGATTATAGGATGGTTGAATACATGATAGTAGAAGTATATTAACTGTCATTTACGACTTTTAACATTGTGTACCTCAAAGATACCACCCCGTACCAGGGTGGTATTGTGTGGTATTTTTTGGTCCTGTAATTTGTTCACCCAGAAATTTGTAGATCCAAATCCAATAGATCATGATGAACTCGTTCCTTCTGTGCAAACGTTTTCAAAAACGAATTAAAAACGAAGAAGATACCGTATGGTATGCAATTGGTACCGAGAGTCAAGAAATTTTTTTCTAAAAAAATGTTGAAAATGGATCTCATTTTGTAGAACACAATAACTCGTTCCATCTGTGCAAAAAATAAAAATCGAGTTAAAACGAAGAAGATATGAGCCGATTAAAAAAGCTAAGGAAAATAAAAATGGTCTTTAATTCTTTATCCTTATATATGAATTTTTTAAATGAAGGGCCTAGATTTAGGGGTCGTTTGCTTCAAGGATTTGGATGTGGGATTTGGTTCTCAAATCCCACACATGAAGGATTTGTCCAAAAGCCATTGTTTGTTGAGCCAAAATGAAGGGTACCAAATCCGTGGGTCCAAATCCGTGGGCCCCACGGATTTGTAAATCCACCTCATACCCTGGGATTTGGAGACAAGCTGAAAAACCATCAAATCCATAGTAAAAATAGCTCAACAAATAAAAGATTTCCTCAAATCCATAATGTCCAAAATCCCTAATAAATCCCAAGGTTTTTAATTAGCAAATCCATGACAAAATCCTCGTTATAAAATCCTTGAAGCAAACGACCCCTTATTTATTAATGAGTGTTTATCCCATGATTATGGACCCTATCTTAAGCCTAATATTTTTCCTATCCCCGAGGTTAAACACCTAAAAGGTAAAAGGAAAAGGAGGTTTGATGAAATTTAAAACCAATAAAATACTAGTGGTGGGTAGTTTTCTTTTGTTCTTGGTAAATATGGCGGCTAATTTTGTGGTCAAATGGGAAAGAAAAGAAAGAAAAAAACCAAGAAGAAGGTGCCTTCCATAACAGATTTTTCCTAATAAGAGAATTAATAAGAGAATTAGTGTTGGCAATTTGAACCAGCTTCACGGGTATTATCCGACCTGACTCGCGATGTGGCGAGTACTACCCGACCTGCAGTAGTGTGGGGTAGAGAATGGGTATTTACTTCCAACCCGTCTTGCCCCACCCCGCCCCGTTCTTAGCCCACTCTATCTCAATTACTTACGATATCTATACATATTTCTCCTATTTTGACTTATCTTCAACTAGTTAGAGTCATTTTCAACTTGTTAGACTCATTCTATTATCACTATTTTTCATGAGCACTTCTACTATGCTATATAGCATTGGTGCTTTAATGTACAACTTAATGTTGTACCATAACATTAAATGTATAAGTTTAGTTTGTACCATAAAACAATTTGTACCATTATGTTATGGTACAAGTTTACAACTTGAAGTTGTACTATTACATAAATGTACAAGTTCAAGTTGTACCATAAAAGAATTTGTACCAAAAATAACATCTAAGAGTGGGTCGATCCATCCTACCCTATACCCACACGAAACGAGACATGGATATTGAGATACCCGTCCTATTGCCATCACTAAAGAGATCTCTCTCGTGCCACTGCCCACTATAGCAACGCTGGAGAAAGGGGAAACATTAATTGGTTCCTGCATTTTCAAGTAAAGATACAGCCCACCATATAAAAATGCAACTATTTTGCACCATGAGGCATGAAGGTAAGATTATACAACTAATTAAATTTTAAACAAATATATCATTACGAAAACCATCAGATTGCATTGAAGTTGTTAATTGGATATCGATGAAGCAAAATTTGCTTCAGCATATTTCTATCTAGTCTTTTCCATAAACATTGACGGAAATGAATTTGTATACAAACAAATACATTTTGGACATCGACATAACATGATCATGTATATGATGTATTTACATTCAAAACTCGATCCTAGCCAATTAGAGACGGTTTTTTTTTAAAAAAAAACTCTCATTCAACCTGAAATCGTAATTTGACTGACTGGTACGGGTGGACTGGGCTGGTGGGTTTTACAGGCCTGGGCCATGTATTGATTTAGCCATGTTTCAAATTGGGGGCCTGTAGTCTCAATCCGAAGAGATTAACTCATTAAAGTAATAGGCTTTCCTAATCCATACTAGATTCGGCTTTCATATATATACCATTATGTCTATTAATAGGAGTTTCAAATCGCTTTCTCATTCTCATCTACCACCGCATACTTTCTCCTTCACGGCGGCGTGCTAATCTTCGTGTCTATCCTGTAGTTCTACCGCCGCCATGGCGACCGAGAACTGCACATCTTACCCAGATTTGGATATGGAGCTAAGATTAGGTCTTCTCCCTTGCGCGTCAAGGAAACGGCGGATCGACGACTGGGGTTCTACCGCCGCCATGGCGACCGAGAACTGCACATCCTACCCAGATTTAGATCTGGAGCTAAGATTAGGTCTTCTCCCTTGCGCGTCCAGGAAACGACGGCGAGTCAATGACTCGGAAGAATTAAACCCTCCTCCGATCAGCAATCTCGGTGACGATCTCCTAGCAGAAGTTCTGATTCGCCTTCCGGAACCTAGATCCGCCTGGCGATGCAAAGCTGTCTGCAAGCGATGGAATTCTCTGATTTTCGATCCCCACTTCGCTCGCCGTTTCACATCTCACCACCAGAGCAGATGGAACCGATACGGCGGTGGTGGCGGCGAATTCGAAGAGCCACCTTTGATGACCTTAGCCTCCGGCAAATCCGTTTTGAGCTTCCTCCCCCTGCCTGAGGAAATAAGTGAGAGAGGATGGCATTTCCTAGTTTTTGATGTTTACAAGGACTTGGTTTTGTGCGGATTTAACGAGGGACGGCTAATTGGTGCCGAATTCCCGAGATCTCTCTTCCTCTGCAACCCGTTTACGGAGCAGTGGATCGCTCTTCCTTTAGCGCCTAGAACTTCTTCTGCGATTGGATTAAAGGAGGCAAGGTTAGTTTGTGAACCCCGCTCTAATGTTGAACTTGATCTAGGAGATGGCCAAAAACCATTTGTTTATTCCTATGCATATCGGTTTCGGGTGGTGTGTATTTATCACTTGCCGGATTCTATAAGGATAGACGTGTTTTGTTCCGAGTCTGGTGAGTGGACGAAGGAGGCTCTTGTTCTTAATGGGCATTTCAGATGGCCTGATGTTAATGTAGTTTCTACATCGTGCAACGGAGGGTTGTTTTGGTTGTGTATGAATTCTGGAGTTTCGGGGTCTCATTCATTCTTAATTGCTGGGTTCAATCCCTTTCGCCTTGATGTCCCTCCCATCCAATTCGATACTTCTCGACTCGTCTTGGGAAGCTGGAATATTTCGGTCTCACATGGTGCTCTACACCTGATTTCACTTGGACATATATCTGCTCCACCTACATCTTTGAGTGTTTGGAGACTGGAAGAAGACCGTAAATCTTGGAGCATACAACATAAAACCGTGTTGGGGAGGACATTCCAAAGTTACGGCTATGAACTTAAGGACTGTAATGTAGTTGGTTTGCATCCAGAGAAGCCGCATATTGTCTTCTTCAAACATCCTGGTTTTGATGATCATCGTCCTGGTGGTGTTGCACTGTCCTACGATATGAAGACCGGAGAGCTAGGCTTCTTTGGTGAGTTTGTTCCCAGATTCCAGCCTAGGGTTTCTTGCTGGCCTACCCCGATTCCAAGGTACGAGGAACTGCGAGCTATATACGATGGGCGACAAAGCTGTTGGGTTCAACAGAGCAGCCGCAAAGCAGCAACTCTCTCCCTGAACAATCGGTAATAATCTACTCACGCTTGTACAAATGTTTACTTTCTTTTCTGCATTTGCTTGCATCTCTGTTTCGGTTTTAAGAATTCGCTAATAAAGCCCGAAAGAAGTTTCTCCTAGAAAACAACATGTCGGCAACCACATCAAGAACTATAGTCCCTCCTTAATCGGTAGGATAAAGGAAGCTGTCTTTTGACGAGTAGCACAAATACATACTTTGCATGCCTGTCTCTAATCGCTTGAGAAGTCTGATGTTCTGGCAAACCTAACTTGTATTCCTAACACTAGTAATAGTAAAGGGATGCACAGGAACCTGTTTTTTTTTTCCATCTTTTATGTATGTGTAGTTCTTTTCATTTTCTTCCCATGCTCTTCTTGTTGCTAATATTACCTTTTCATCCCATTTACGCAGTGTCTGGATTGTCAAAGAGAGAATTATGGAGTGGCTGGATTCTCAGAAGAAAGAATTTATGCAGTGGCTGGCTTAATTAAAAGACCCCCTCCCCAGTGTATCGTGTTAGGAAGCAGAAGGCGGTGAAACTTGAAAGGCTTGCTCGTGTTGTTCAGAAGGATGGCGCCATTGGATGAAACTTTCGTCTGCAATTAGTCTTGGCTGTCTTTGACTTCTTAGAATGCCTGTGATCAATCTTATTGAAGAGGACCAGAAAGCAAGAGTGTCCAGGGTCCTTTACTTTCCCTGTACTATTATTGCCTGAGCCATGGTTTTAGGCGCTGCAACTTGTTTATGTAGCCAAAGTTTCTCTGTAAGATATTTTATTTATTCAGCTGTCATGGAATGTAACAAGATCTATGTAGTTGTGTATTGGATGCTACATAGATCTTAACTAGTGGATTACATACAGTGGCAGAGGGAGGTATTGAGGAGAGGGGTCCTAGTCCACCACTTGAAAAAAAAAAAATGGGACAATAAAATCTTTTATGTATATAAGGTTTAGTATGATCCTTCACATTGAGAACCTCATAATAATCTCGTAACAGTAGATGTTACATGTTAGCTCACGACTTGAGTATCCAATCAACTCAAAATTCATTAAATACATAACAAAATTTTTGTGTTATTAAAATTTTAAAAACCCCACTCAAGTCTGCTTTCGAACTCATTACACAATATACATATATCGCGAACCAAAAAAAAATTTATAGTGAAAGACAAACGTCTTAGCTCGTATTAATGATTAAATGTTCATGGGATATACCCATAGCATCGTACAAAATCCAATAGTGAAGCTCTGGATCGCCACAAAATTACATTCTCTAAATGTACTACCGGCACCGCCGTGGGCGGCGATGTATATAATAATATAAGAACGTGATCTCTCAACACCGGATTTCATGTGCATTATTTTCTCCTGCTTTCTTGTCTTTCCTTCTCGTTTCTTAATTCTTATATATCAACTTATTAAGTTATTTGCATTAGAATGCGCTTACGGTTGACGTACTGCGACTCATTCCATGTATGTATTTTAACACTTGAGGATTTTTTTCTCATTGAGAAATCGAGAAACTAACTATGATATGCTGAATGAAGTTGAATTATTTAAGAAGTTGAATCATTTTGAAGAGCACAATTAATCTGATCTAACTGTGAAAAAAATTAAATTTCGACTTAAAACGAGTGAGAAATCATCCGTCAAAGATTAAGAAGGAAAAAATTAAAGATTTTCTAGGAGAGAGAGGGATGTTGATGTGGACTGGTTACTCATAATTACTTATCATAAAATTACTCACCTGATCCGACCCAAAATAATAGGAAGAAATAATTACACTTTGCATGGTCGGTGGCAAACTGGCAATAATTATGGGAACAAATTTTTTTTTTTTTTTGGCAAAAGATAATCATATATTGATACTCAAAAAAGATCATTACACCATCTGCCTCAACCAGGCAACAAAATCAAAAGAACGACTCGCTATCGGGTAAAAAAAGGGCCTTTCTAGCCACTAAATGGGCTACCCTATTATGGGAACAAAATTTTGATTTCATGGTTTCCGAAATTATTTCGGACATTTTATTTTTTTGGTGTTCAAACCGCACCCACTTTTTCCCCTTTCTATTTTTTACTTCAATTTCACTCATAACAAAAATATTTCCCCTATTATTTCCCTCTCCCTCATAACTTTCCTTCCCCTTTTCATTTTCCTATCCCTCATAATTTTTCCTTCCCTCCCGTAGAAAAAGAGTGTAAGAATACTTATGTAAGAAACAAGTGTAAGAGTAGTATATGAACTCGATGTAAACAATGTCTTTCTTTATGTATATTTGGTTGAAAACGTTTATTTTAAAACTGCATTTCAGACTTAGAATTTATGGTGATATTTTAATTTAGTTTGCAAATTAAATAAATCTCTTTACGAGCTCAAACGAGATAGTAGTAGTAGGCAATGGAGAATGGACCACAAATTTTTGAATTTCTTTTAGTAGTTGATTATGCTCAGTTGATTAATAGTTTTTATTAAACATTATAATGGTTAATTTCTTGATATTCTTGTTTACGTACATGATGTGGTCGTTGTTGTTGATTTTATAAGTGAGGTTGAGTCTCTTAAAAAATATATGATACTTTTAAGATAACAAAACTTACGACATCTCAAATACTTTCTTGAACTTGAAATAACTTCGTATAAATTGTGATTTCTGGTTGTTGACGCAAGTATGTGTTAGATGGTTAAATTATTCTGGCTTTCCTTGGAGCTAAACTTGTAGCCACTCCCAGTGTCAGGTTGTCTATTAAAACTGGTACACTGTTAGATGATTCTCCTATGTGTATAAGATTGGTTGGTCGTTTGTTATATATGTGCTATACATGATTTGATATTGTGTTTGTTGTACATATGTTAACACAGTTCATGAGTGCACCAATAAATGTACATTTAGCTGCTGCAGGTCGTGTAATACATTATCTTAAAGGGTGCCCCAGTTTGGGTTTATGTTTTTCCTTCCCAAACTGGCTTGTCTCTTAAGGCTTCTTCTGATAGTGACTGGGCTGAATGCTTTAAATCCACGCAATCGACTACTGGTTTGTGTTTTCTTACGAGTTCACTTATTTCCAAGCGATCATCCACAAAGGCTAAGTATCAAGCATTGGCTTATCTCACTAGTGAAAATGTGAAATACAGTGGGTTCATTAACTTTAACAGATTTAGGACTTTTATCTCAATAGTTTAAGTAGTTCTTCATGTTTTAGTAGTTTTACTATATGTTCCACAACTTATTATTTTATTGCATTTGCTTGTTTACTTAACGGTCTTGATTAACCTCACATTGATTGTATTCGTGAGAACAGATTTTGTATACTTAGTTATGGACTCATGCGGACGATGGGGAAGAGTTAATTTGTTCCACAATTATAATATTCCGAGCTCACTTTATTTGCATAAACAACGATGAATCTATGAATGAATCATACTCGCGCAATCAAAACCACTAAGCACAGCATTGAAATCCTTGTACATTTACTAGGCATACATCTGTTTGCACAAAAAAAAAGAGATACAGATAACACCATACACTAGCAGAAAAATCGAAATTGTCTCTAGATATATGCAGCGATGACTAAAAGAATGATATTCTTTTTTAGAACAGATACAATGGAAACTACTGTTTTGGTGAAAATTTAACAGTGAGAGAAACAACTCAAATGGTCATGGCATGGCATCCCAGGTAACCTACATTTCATATGCCGATTGCCGACTCAATTTGCTAAAACTTCACAGAAACCGATGTTTCAAATGTACAATTGTAAATCAAATCCTCCTGCAGCTATACAGCATGTACTAGAAGCTACACCAACTACTCCTGCAAAATCAATTGTAAGAGCTCTCTCTGCTTTCATCAAAATTCCGCAGCTATACATCATATACTACCAGCAACGGCAGCAACTAAGCTACACCAACTACTGCTGCACAATCAATCGTTAGAGTTCTCTGCTTTCATCAAAATTCCACAGCTATGCAATGTATATACTACCAGCAACAGCAGCTACTAAGCTACACCAACTACTCCTGCAAAATCAATCGTAAGAGTTCTCTCTGCTTTCATCAAAATTCCACAGCTGTACATCATATACTACCAGCAACAGCAGCTACTTCTCCTGCACATGTAACCATTAGAAAGTTATATATTCAATCAAACATGTGCAAATATCCACTTTATGAACTTTAAAATTTATACTACCTCAACAATTGGTACTTTGTGTACCCAAGTCAAAAGCATCAAGTAGCAGCAGGGGCCCCATCATCCATACTCTCCTCAAAGATAGAAATATTCAGATCTGGGAGCTTAAAATGGTTCTGCTCCTGAAAAAAAGAATGTCAACATCATTAAATATAGTTTATAACATTGACCATTCTCAAACTTCAAACATTACCTGAAATACAAGGTTTGGAACATGGTTTTCAGCAGGTACATCAACCACAGCATCATCTTCATCGTGAACAGGAATGTTCAGATCCGGGATTTTATAGTGTTGCTGAAATACAAGGTTTTGAGCATGGTTTTCAGCAGGTACATCAACCACAGCATCAGTTTCATCCTGAACAGCAATGTTCGGTTCTTGGATATCATTGTGTTGCTGCAATATTAGCTCTCAAAATTAAAACATATATATGCAATACTTCGAATATGAACTAGTTAATAACAAACTAATTAATACCTGGATAGTGGCATCCTCATCCTCATTGATCCCAGCAGGAGCTTGTATCACCTTAGCATTGGCTTCTATCACACCAGAAAGTACATCAACCCTAGCTGGAACAGCAGTCACAGCAGGAGCTTCATCCAGAACACCATTATTCGAAACCGGGAGTTCATTGTGTTGCTGCAAAATTAGCTCTCAAAATTAAAACATATATATACAATTAGTTCGAATATAAACTAGTTCAAAACAAAAGATTTAATACCTGGGCAGTGGCCTCAGCATCCTCGTTTTGCTCAGTCTGGAGTATTTCCGAGCCATGATCAATATTCTGCTTTTGAGCCATGGCAATTTCAAGCGAATGAAGAACCGAAGTGCGATCAGATTCAATTTTAGACATCCGAGACTTCAGCTGTGTAATCTTTTCATCCAGTAATTTGGTGTCTGTCTCGGCTTTAGGAAGCTCATCTTGTTTACTGCAATAAAAAAGAGATCAGCATAATTAAAAAACAAGTTCAACAGAAAAAGATTAATTCTTTTAGAACTAATACTTACCCTTGCTCAGTCTGGAGTCTTTCCGAGACCTCATCAAACTTCTGTTTCTTAGACACGGACATTTCACGTGACTCAACAGAACGATGGTGATCAGATTCAATTTCAGAGATCTGAGACTTCAGCCGTGCACTGTTTTGATACTGTAATTTGATGTCTGTCTCGGCTTGAGGAAGCTCATCCAGTTTACTTCAATCAAAAAGAGATCAGCAATATTAAAAAACAAGTTCAACAGAAAAAGATCAAATCTTTTGGAACTAATACTTACCGTTTCTTAAAAGGAGAAACCAGTGAAGAAAAAGTGTTCCCCATCTTCAGGGCAAGAGATATACAGGCAACTACAAGATGGAGCATCATTAAAACAGTCAATTGGGTGTTTATAACCATGAACTCAAAAACAGGGTACACCTAAACAGTGACCTATATGCATCCTAAACTAGGGCAAAGAATCAATTAACCCATTGGAGCTGCACTCTGTTTGAATCAAAACAAGAGAACTCGATAACAAAATCAAAATTACAGAAGAACTCAGATTAAACAGTGCCTTATGAACAAAATTGATGGAAAGAATAAAGAACGGGAAGCCTTGAGCCCGACCTGCTTTCAGCACAAAATTAAAGCACAAATAGCAAGAATCAAACAGATCAAACAGAGAGTGTCAGAACAAAAAATTAGGGTTTCCCCTAGATCTTTTGTACAAACTGAAACGCAATCAGTTGAACTAGGGTTTCATGCAGGGTACAAAGAAATCAAATGCAGGGTACATCACGGAACAATAATATGGGTCTCTACTGAATTAGGGTTTCAAGCATGGTACAAAGAAATCAAACGCAGAGTATATCACAGAACAAGAAAACGGGTTTCAATTGCATTAGGGTTTCACCCATGGTACAAATAAATCTACGCAGGGTATATGACAGAACAAGAAAATGGGTTTCTTTTGAATTACGATTTCAGGCAGGGTATATCAAAGAACAAGAATATGGGGTTTCTACTGGACGTTTCGGTACAACTCTCCAGAACCGTTGGACAACAATCAATTGGAAGAACAGGAAAATCTCAAAGATACAGAAAAAGGAGTTCAATCAATTGAAAGAACAAGAAAATCGAGACGAACGCCTGCTCCACTACTACAACGGCAAACGATACCTTAATCGCAGGGCGAGGACGGACTGTGGGTTGCGGCGGCGGACGTGGGTTGCGACGGCGGAAGTGGGTTGCAGTCTTGCGGAGCGAAGCGAAGCGAAGCGAAGCGAAGCGAAGAGGGAGCGGGAAACGAATTCGAAATCTAATTTCCTTTTGAAGATCAGAACGGAGCAAAACTTGTGAATGTAAATGGTACGCTGTCCGCATTATTAAGTAATGAAGTAGTTACTATATATCGACCGACTTAGTTTTATTGGGCCGGCCCAAGTACATACATACTAATGAAGTACTGGCGTGTTTACAAAGCCCATAACGGAATCGGGAATGTGGAGTGACAGTGCGATGAAGAGCTAAAATGTAAGAAGGGAAGAGAAGGGCTTATATATGAGAAACAGAGAAAGAAGGGATAGATCTTACGTGATACTTTTTTTTTTTTGGTAAGAAACTATTTAAAATATATAATTATTATAAGTTAACCAATCAACGGCTAGAAACGAAAATTTGGGGAAAATCTTCTCCAGTCAAATCACGTCCCTCCCCGTTTTTCCAGAGTTCTCTTTCGTGAGAGAGTAATTAATTAATGGTTAATTAGGTAGGTTTTTTCTATCCTTTTTAAAGGTTTCTATACCAGTTGTCTCCTAATTACAATCAAATCGCGATTAACGATACCTCTACCTTAATTGAGCAAATTTCATATCTATCGTCCGGTCAAATCAAATAAAATCATATGTTGGTCACGACTCACGACAGAGTTATAATTATCAATTTAGCTTTTCTTTTTGGTAAGAAACTAAGCTTTTCCAGTTGTCACAGCATAATAAGTAATTTTTACGTGATACATTAAGATATATATAAAAAAAATCTAAGATATAGAATAATAAGTTACCAAATCAACGAGACCATTCGAAATTAGTTTTTTCTCCAGAGTTCTCTTTTCCCAAATTAGCTTTCTCTCTCCTTTTTCACGGTTTCAATACTAGTTGTCTCCTAATTATAATCGAACCGCGATTAAAGATTCATCTACCTTAATTGAGCAAATTTCCTTTATTGGTGTATAAATTAGCGATTCATCTACCTTAACCGTGATTAACGATTCATCATGTAAAAATATAAATTAGAATGTTACAGATCAACGGCTGGGAAGTATAAATAATGACTAAGCCCTACGATCAAGAAATAGTATTCCGTATATCAACTCCAGTGTCCGGTCAATATCATATCTATCTGCCGGTCAAATCAAATCATATCCCTTCTGGAAAAAAAATACTTATTATTTTGAAACATAACCGGAATAGCTAAATTGTTACTTACCAAAATGGGGAATTCCCACAAACTCTTACACTCTGTTTGGGAAGAGGGGTAAATGGGAGGAGGGTGCAAATGTGAGGGGTAAATACAGTTTCCAACACATTTGCACCTGTTTGGTTAATTTGGAACAGTAGGGGGTGCAAAACGGGAGTGCAAATTTACTGTTTCGGCTTACCCCCAAATTGGGGTGCAAGGGAAGGAAGGAAGAGAGGGGGAGGGGGAATTATGGAATTTTGTTTTTCTAATTGTGTTATATATAATTATATAATAATTAATATTATCAATTTCTTCTTTTTATAAATATCATTAATGTAAACATTATTCGGGGTTGACCATTTGACTCGGGAAACAAGTTTATCAATGTTCGTCAAGTCAAATCTAGATCTCTTGGTTGAATCGAATTTGCATTGAAAATTAGAGATACGAGGTGTTTGTGAAAAAGATAGAGAGAAATTGTTTGGTTAACTCAGTTTATTTGAATAAATAGTTAAAACTTACAAATTCGAACGTGTTTGACTAAGTTTGACAATTTAAAATTAAACTAGACACGAAAACCCTATATAGGATGACCAGTTACAAGTTGAGCTTCGAGTTTTGAGATCACTCGATCAATGATTATACAATTGTCATAATTAATTATTATTTGAGCATTATTATATAATAACTATTTTTAGTAAAGTATATTTATTATTATATAATAATATTTATTTTATTATTTTATGATAATATTTTAAAATTTTAAAATCTATTTTGTAATCTAAAATTTATTTTTAAAATCTATTTTAAAATAATATAATTACTTACTTTTCACTCTATTTGCACCCCCCTACTTTTTCATCCAAACAACAATTTACCCCTCCACTTACACCCCCCAGCAATTTGCACCCCCCAACAATTTACCCCTCAACTTGCACCCTCCTGCAATTTGCACCCCCCTTGTTGCCAAACAGAGCGTTAACCATACCCTGGTGGTTCTGATACCGAAGAAGAAAACAGTGGAAGCACCTATGGATTTCAGGAAAAAATCCAAAACTACCGCTGTTTAAATTTTTTTTTACAAAAATACCACCCTCACCAAATAATTTTCAAAAATACCATCGTTTATATAAAACCGCGCCTCTGATGAGCGGTTTTCATTGAAACCGCAACCTAGAGGCGTTGTTGATACTCTCGCTTGAGTTTGTTGTGGAAATACCCCATCTGTGACCTTCGTCCTTATGAAAAGTCCACATTTCAAGGTCATGTTGATCAAGCCACAGCGCACCTTCAGGGCATATTTGACGGATATTCTGCATCTTCTCTTTAAATTTCTTCTCTTGGTACGCGACAACTGATGAATATAAAAAAAAAGTAAGATAAGCAAGATCGACCTTATTGCCAATACAAGTACACTCGTAAGACTCTTAGGAGAGGTATACATCTCCTTAGAAACACAGTCTTTTTGACAGAAAAAGGGGGGATCCGAGGATCGCTTAGAACCCGATTTTCCCAGGTCATGGGAGGATCATTATGATCGCTTAAGTCCCCATTTCCTTAGACATGCATTTCTTTATAAAGAGTCTAAATAAGTATTGTATTGTATTGATTTAAATTATTGAAAATAATCAATACGATTAACAATTAAGTAAATTATTGTACAAACAAATAAATTACTTTAACAAAATACAAATTACAAGTGATGATAAATAATATGTACCTTGTGGTCGTTCCAAACGTCTCTTGAACGATGATTTGCTTGATCGTATAAAACTGTCGGATCAATGGGTCCTTGCTCAACATAATATCGTTGATTAAAAATATCAACATCCGGCCCAACCTACGATAGCATAACAATAACACAAATCATTAGTATATAAATTAAATAAATCATTATAACAACAACAATTGGGAAAAATGAGTACGTACCATTTGATAATCATAAAAAAAGGCCCTCTTCTTGAGCGAAATCGGCCATTCTCTCGGAATCCGGACAGAGGTTCGACGGTTTTTTAGTGAAAACCAAAGAAAAGTTTTTTGGAGGCAGATCGGACTTATGCCACAACCAACAAAAAAACGTTTCTAAGGTTTTTGGGTGGGGAGGGGAGTGGATAGGGAGAAGTTAGAGGGAGAGAGGGGGGAATGAGGTTGGTGTGCAGAAAAGTGAAGGGGGAGGGGGTTTATATAGGGTGCAAACCGCGTCCCCGAGGGCCATTTCGTCAATTTTTTCCAACGAAAACCGCGCCTCGGAGACGCGGTTTGGTTCTCCCGAACAGTCAACCGCGCCTCGGGGACGCGGTTTGATTCTCCCGAACAGTCAAACCGCGCCTCGGGGACGCGGTTTGCTTTTCCCGAAAGTCAAACCGCGCCTCGGGGACGCGGTTTACTTGGCCGACGCGGATCGCCGAGCTGGCACACGTTTTGGCCGTTAGATCGCTCTCCCAGCGAGCGGTTTAATGAACCGCCACGTGGACACGCGGTTTGACAGCCATGCAAGGTCAAGCCGCTCCTTAGTGGCGCGTTTTGTGATAAAACCGCGCCTCTAGGCTGCGGTTTCATTGAAAACCGCTCATCAGAGGCGCAGCTTTATATAAACGATGGTATTTTTGGAAATTTTTTGGTGAGGGTGGTGTTTTTGTAAAATTTTTTTGAAACAGTGGTAGTTTTGGATTTTTTCCTGGATTTCAGGCCTATTAGTTTGTGTAAAGTTCTCTATAAGATCCTATCGAAAGTTTTGGCCAATCGATTGAAAGGAATGCTGGATGGAATAATCAAAGAGTATCAAAGTGTCTTTGTCCCTGGCAGACTTATCACTGATAATGTGATGATAGCTTTTGAGAGTTTCCATGCTATGAAGGGAAGGACGAAGGGTAAGAAAGGTTTTATGTCGGCTAACCTTGATATATCGAAAGCCTATGACAGGGTTGAGTGGAATTTTCTTGAAGCTATTATGAAGAAACTCGTTTTTGCTGACAGATGGGTGACTTTAATTATGAAATGTATCTCTACGGTTTCTTATTCCCTATTGGTGAATGGCCACCCGACTGAAACCTTCTATCCCACGAGAGGATTGAGACAAGGGGATCCATTATCACCCTATCTCTTCCTCTTTGTGGTAGAAGGTCTCTCGGCCCTGCTTATTAAAGCTGAACAGCAGAAAAAGATAAAAGGACTGAATGTGAAAAAAGAACCCCCCCCCTCCATAAATCATCTGCTTTTTGCGGATGATAGTATTCTTTTCGTCCAAGCCACTCGCCCGTAATGTGAGAAAATCAGGGACATTTTACACTTATATGAAGCTGAGTCAGGGCAGAGGGTTAACCTAGAGAAATCTTTTAACCCTAATGTCAAGGAAGACAAACAGCAAGAGATGGCAGGAATTATGGGAATGAGAGTTGTGCATTTCCATGCTAAGTACCTAGGTCTACCTACTGTGGTGGGGAGAAAGAAGAAGGCTGTGTTTAATTATTTGGTTGACAGGGTAAGGAAGAAAGTTAAACTCTTGAAAACCAAACTTCTATCTTGTGCTGGAAAGGAAACACTCATTAAGGCGGTAGCTCAAGCACAAATGACATATGCAATGCAAGTTTTTCTCGTTCCTATGGGAGTAATTCAAGAGGTTCAAAGTTTGTTGGCCAATTTCTGGTGGGGTCAACAGAATAATGAAAGAAAAACTCACTGGCTGAGTTGGAAAGAGCTCTGCAGATCGAAAGAACAAGGGGGACTGGGTTTCAGATATTTACATGAATTCAATCTTTCTCTGTTGGGTAAACAGCTGTGGAATCTCATACAAAAACCGAATTCTCTGGCTGCGAGGATTCTCAAAGCCAAATACTATCCTAGGAGGGATATCCTGGAGGCTGAACTAGGGTACAATCCAAGCTACTTATGGCGTAGTATCCTGGCAGCGAAAGATTTGATAAAACATGGATTGAGATGGAAGATAGGGGATGGTACCAAGGTCGACATATGGCTTGATAGATGGGTGCCAGAAGCTAAAAACTACAAAGTGACATCACCTCCAGTTCAGTTGGGTTTATCAACCTCTGTTAATGAGCTGTTAGATGTCTCGTCTAGAACCTGGGATACTGAACTACTTCAGATGTATTTCAACCCTACTGACCAGGCCAATATCCTTAAGACATCCATTCCTAGACAACCCTGTGAAGACTCTCGGATCTGGACTTTTGAAACTACAGGGTGTTACTCGGTAAAGTCAGCTTATCTGAAGTGGCGTGAAAGGCAGGAGGAAGCAGTGGGGGAGCTATACTCTCCTACTGACTGGAAGCGGATATGGGGGCTATGCATTCCCCCAAAAGTCAAGATTTTCACTTGGAGATGGGTTAGAAACATTCTCCCTACTGGAGCTAATATACTAAGAAGAATTCATCAAGGATGTGATGAATGCCCATTCTGTGGCATACCAGAAACTCAAAACCATTTGTTTTTCGATTGTGGGTGGACGAGACGTGTGTGGAGACCTAGCTCACTAAAAGAGGTTTTCAAGAGAGGAGGTGATAGTACCTGTGAAGAATGGATGGGTGCTCTACAGGAATCATTCCCGGATGAGGTGATAAGCAAATTCCTTGTCTCGCTCTGGTTCATCTGGGAAGAAAGAAATTGCCAGTTATGGAACAAGAAAAAGAGAGAAGAATGGGAAATTATGAATCGAGCGAGTGATTGGCTGGAGGAATACCTGATTCACCAACAGAAGACTGTGGCCGAGACGTAGAAAAGACAGTACAAATGGAAGCCGCCGGAAGATGCAGAGGTGAAGATCAATGTTGATGCGGCGTGTGTGGAAGGTCAGGGGACTGGTTTGGGGGTTGTGGTGAGGGACAAGGAGGGGAATTTCTGCCTGGCAGCAGTGAGGCGTACCAGGATGCAGTGGAACCCTTTGATGGCAGAGATTCAGGCGATCCGATTCGGGTTGACGATGGCGGAGGAAAGGGGCTTCAGATCGGCGATCATCGAGTCTGACTGTCAGGTGGCGATACATTATCTTCACAACACCAAAGCACTGATCACCGAGGAAGGAAACACGTGTGCAGAGATCCGTGATGTGGCCAGAGCCCTGGGCTCATTTGTCTTCTCTTTCTCGGGCCGAACCAGTAATGTAGCGGCCCATATAATGGCCCATACACCATGTAATTGGGACCATCAGGAGATTTGGGCTTCAAGGCCTCCTATCTGTCTTCTAGACCAACTTCAGTTAGATACCTCTACTATTTCACACCACTAAAGAAATAATACAGGTTTTGTTGATAAAAAAAAAGAGGAAAATTTTAAAATCTTTATCCTCTGGTCGTATCATATTTAATTACTTTTTATCTAAAAATTAAAAGACCGATTAGTATCAATGAATCTAGAACTCATTTTATTTTAAAGTGAATTATTAAGTAGAATTGATTTTCCCTCATTGTCAAAAATAAAAAACCCCAATTTCAAGCAGTTGTCTCCCCTCAAGCGGCATCGGAGCCGCCGCCGCCCGTATCTTCTCCAGACACGGCGCCAAGGTCCTCGTCGCCGACATCAACCCGGCCGAATCCGGCGACGCGATTTCCTACATCAGTTGCGACGTCACGAGCGAGTTCGACGTCCGAAACACCATCGACGCGGCGGTGTCCGAGCACGGCAGGCTGGACATCATGTTCAGCAACGCCGGCATCATGGAGCACCAAGCCCCGGCGATCTCGTCCTTCAACCGCGCCACGTACGACGGCGTTTTCGGGGTGAACGTGTACGGCGCGTTCCTGGCGGCGAAACACGCGGCGAGAGTGATGGTCCCGGAGATGAAAGGGTCGATCGTTTTCACGGCGAGTAGCGTCACGCGCAGCTATGGGCATGGCCCATATGCTTAGGAGTGGAAGTTTGGGTAACGGGTTGTGGATAATCCGCAAATCGCACCAACCCGCACCTATTGTGGGTAACCATATCCACAAGTTACGGGTGGTGGGTTGGGTGTGGGTAGTAAAATAACGATTTTTGTGGTTAGTGGTTATCCACTACCCACCGCGGATAACCCACAAAATCCACAATAACCACACTAATTATATTTATTTAGTGAATTAACATTATAATATAATAGTATGTGAAAAGTACGAGGATAAAAATTAAAGTAGCCACCAAATAAAAAAGACACGCCTAATAGGTTTTATGTAAGAATTTTTTAGTTTATAAAACACTATAATCGATAGAGTGTAGAATAATCAATTCATTAAAAGTGAACACCTTTTGTAACTTTTATCAGTATATTTTTGCCTTTGTGTGAAAAAATACAAGATCATATTTAATTGCCAAATTTCACCCTAGTCGGGGAAATATGAAATCACAGCTCTCTGGCACAAAAGTTGAATACCAAACTCAAAAAGAAAAAAATCTCCACGTTGAGTAAGATCGATGTACAAAATTGTATCTCCACGAACAACACAAGTGTATATCACTATAATCTAGTTACGAACAACAAATACGTTAGTGGCGATAAGAACTCTATGCTTGCAAATATGGATTTTTGCAGGTAACCACACCCAACCCGCACAAACCCACAGTGGGTAGTGGTTACCCACTAACCACTGCGGTGCGGGTTGTGGGTAGCATAATTGTAAATTTATGGGTGTGGGTACCCGCAAAATGTGGGACGGGTAACCACACCCACCCCAATTTCCACCCCTACGCACGCTTACACTGCGTCGAAGCATGCGGTGGTGGGCCTGACGAAGAACCTGGGCGTGGAGTTGTGCCTGCACGGGGTTCGGGTGAATTGCGTCTCGCCGTTTGGGGTGGCGACTCCGCTGACGATTGGCGAGTTCGGGCTGGACGGCGACGGTTACCTGGAGTAACTGAACGGTCGATTCTTGTGATTCGCTTCTTGCCGATGGTTCAGATAAGTATTCCATCATTTATTTATTTTATTATTATTATTTATTTCCCTTAATAATTATCCTTCATACTTTATTTGTTTTTAATTATTCTTTGATTTCTTTCCGCCTTTTTTTATTTTTTCGTATCTCTTGCCTTCTTTTTATAATTATATACTTGCAATTTGTTAGGTCCCCGAATTTTAGGTTGTAACCTTTTATTAAAAAAAAAAGTTAGTTGTGTATCGGGTGGTACCGGTTATCTAATGTTTCTCGATGACCTGGTACTCTATTTCAAGGGCGAATTGCTGCCTTGTGTCTATGTTGACTTGTTGGCTCTTTGGCCTGAATTGTCCTACTAGGGACCTTTGTTTGCTCATTTTGCAGGTGAATATTCAATTGCACAATAGTCACACTGTGGCGACTGTCTTGTCCACTAGGTGGCATTTTGATGAGATTTGATGGAGCACTTGGAAATGACGCCCATGATATTGAAGGAACCCCTTGAACACTATTAATGTTTAGTTTGATGGTGCGGTCTAGCATAGTCACGAAGGTAGTATTGGCTTTGTGGGTTCCAATTGTCAGGTAATATTCTCTTTGCTTTCGGAAAGTGTTATGAAGGATTACAAGATCCATTTATTATACTGGAGGCCATACAGTGGTGCCTGACACATTCCTTTGTCTCTGTCAAATTTCATGGGGATTCACAACAATTGATACGGCGGGATGGTGGGAGGCGACTAGGTGCATGATCGGGGTGGAGCTCTTCTAAAGGATACTCGGAGCTTAGATTCTCACTTCATTGATTTCCTACTGCTTTGTTTCTCGTCGACTTAATAGGGCTGCCCATCATGTGGCACTAAAGGCACTCTCATCGAGAGTTCGACTATTGGTCGACTCCCGCGTTTTTCTTTCTTCCTACTTGTGACTATCTTTTCAACACTGACTTTGTGAAAAGAAAAAAAAAAGTGGTCATGGTTAGAATTCTAGTAAGTGTCTTTTTAATGAATAAAAAAAGTAATTTTGAAGACCAAAATTTCCTTCATACTTTCACTATGGATGCAGAAAATTTGAAATGGGGTTTCAAGTTTTCTCATTTGGCTTTTATTTATTGTGTAGAATTATCATTATGTGTTCTAATAATTTAATTATTCCATGAATGTTGTAAATAAACAATGTTGTAGCTTTTATAGTCATATTTTCTTTTCTAAATTTTTACCGAATGTAGTAGCTTTTATATTTTATTACTTTTCATCTCTTTTTGTTCTAAATTTTTTCAATTAGTGGAATATGTTTAATTCTTTCTAATTGTGTTCCATTTATCCTTCTTTGATTTTGATATATTGATGATCGATTAGGTTCTATTTTAACTATTTCTAATGGTGCTTCTAATTGAATTAGGGGTTTAAATAGATATTCTAATATTTATTATTATATTCTAGTAGATTTATTATTCTTCTTGATATTCAGTTATTATTTTACTAATTTATCTATTTTATTGAAAATTTTTGATTAGTCATTATAGTAATAATATGTTTAGAAGGTTTTCTAATTATTATATTAGATAAAATTTGTTGAAATACAGTTTTGAATATTTTTAAAGGTTTTGGGTATCAAAAAGTAATTTAAAGTTTGGATTGGATGAAAAAGTAGACGGATGCACATTTTGGCAACTTTAATGGTACCCGGCGCCCTATTCAAACTTAAGTGGTATGTCTATCCCAATTCTCAAACTTAAGTGGTACCCGATCTATTTTATACCCGATGTATTTTATACATATTTGGCAAAATGCACTTCCATAGCCCTAACTTTCGTGTTCGTGACAATAATAGCCTCTTTTGAAAAAATACCAGATATAGCCACTTCCGTCCAATACTTTAACGGTGTCATCTAACATGCTGACTAGACTAACAGAAATGCTGACTTGGCGAACACTATTGCCACGTAGATTAATAAAAAATTAATGAAAAAATGAATTTATTGAAAAATAAAAAAATAATTAAAAGAAAAACCATTTAACAAATAAAAAAACTCCTCCACTCCCTCTCTCTCTTCTCCCACCACTCAATATTTTTTCTCTCTGCCGTCCAATTCCCTTTCTTCCTCTCTTCCAACAAAGGTGGCCGCCATAGCTAACTTTCTTTAAGATCTGAACGCTGGAAAAAAGAAGAAGAAAGAATTGATAATCATACATAGAGACTTATTCGCTGTAGTTGCGTGCCCCAATTGCAGCAAGATGACGACCCAGTTTCGTGCCCCAATTGCGAGAGCGGAGATCGAGTATCCTCTGCAGATGACTCCGACGGAGACGCGCCCGCACCGTTGGAGCTTGTCGGCGGATCGTTGAGCGATTTATCTCGGATCTGGGCGGTAATCTCGGTTCCACCTCGCCGTTGATGAGAAAATATTCTCAAACCAAAATCTCCCCATCTCTCAACTTGGATCTGTACTCCAAATAGTTGAGAGGAAAAGAAAAATACAGAGCAGCGCTAGAGTGCAGAGAAGAAGACATATTTATTGTAATTGAGAATGTCCATCTTGCCGTAGAGAAACCCAAAAAGCCCATTAGAAAAACCCAAAAAACCTGTTCTTGCCAAAACCCTGGATTTGATCTTCGGAAGAAGGGATTGTTGCAGATCCATGGAGATTACAAACCCAGTCATCGGAGAAGGTGTAGAAGGGATGGTTGGATATCTCCGAAACCTCTGCTAATCTTCTTGAAGAGCGGACCCATAGTAGAGAGAAGAAGGCAAATCTGAAACAGAATGAATACGGCGATTCAATCAGTCTATCGTCTCGATTCTTGAATTCCGCACGTAACTCCGAATTCACTCTAGAGTCTTTCGACGTTTGATCGATATGTGGCTTCCTGCAAATGAAAAGGGTGGTAGACGGAATTTTGAGTAGCTTTAAGATCGTCGTTTGGAGGCAACGCCTGGATTTTTTGCTCTAAATCTCGTCGACATAGAGAGTAGCAGTTGGGGTGGAGAGTTTTGGACGACGGTTGAGTTGAAGTGACGATCGACGGGTTGTGGGAGGGTAGAGAGGAAGTAGAGAGTTTTTTTTCCGGGACCGGTTACTATGACAACATGCCTTGTGTTGTTATTGTAACAACACTAACAACACTAGTCTCCAACCAATAGGAAGTTAGGGTTGTGATGACTTTTTATTAGATGAGTTGACCTAGTGTAAAATCAAAGCAGGGGTATAATGGTCATTATGAAAAATATGTTTAAATAATAATAAAAAAATTATTTTTTTATTTTCGGCCAAAAAATTTGGTCGCCAGAATTTTGCCATCGGGCGCCGGAAACTGGTCGCCGGTCACCGGAATATGCTTTTTGTCACCGGAATATGCTATTTGTCGTCGGAATATGCTTACCGGCGTCGGAATCTAGTTGTCGGGGCCGGAATATGCCTATCAGCGTCGGAATCTGCTCACTGACGGTCACCGGAGTTCGGTCAACGAACTTCGTTGACCGGCCAACGGTCTTCGTTGATCGGTCAACGGTCAACGACCACCAGATGTATGGTCTGCATTGTGAGATTTATGGTTTGGTTTCTCATATTTTTTTATGCCTTTTGTGGTTTGCTTTATCGTGTTTGTGGTTTGCATTGAGAAGTTTTTGGTTTGCTTTATAAAACTTTGTGGTTTGCATTGAGGGGTTTCTGGTTTGTTTTAATATATTTGTGGTTTGCATTAGGACGTTTATGGTTTGCTTTTTTGTGGTTTGATTTACTGTGTTTGTGGTTTGCATTAGGAGGTTTCTGGTGTGCTTTCGCAAATGCTGTTGATAGACCGTTATTTACACATGTTTTTACCCTCGTTCTTACACCGTTTGAGGTGTTGATTCTCGTGTTTTAGGCCGATTTCACGCTAGGTTGTGCTTGTTTGTGATATTTCAGGTCCTAGTACGTGAATGGAGGCTTGGGAGCGAGTCTGGGGTCGATTGGACGAAGATCGGACGCGTGGCGAGGTGTCAAGGAAGCTGCACGGGCATAAACAACCTTCACACGGCCGTGCCATTGAGCACCCCGGCCGTGTGATTTCTGTCGAGGCCGAGCACGGGCAGACTAGAATTCTCACACGGCCGTGCAACCCTGGCCGTGTGAGATGGCTGAAGGTCGACTAATCCATACGCCGCGTTTCCGATTACTGTTTTCTCTTCTCTCTCTATGGAGTAGAACCCTTCTCTCACTTGGGTATGAAGAACCCTAGTTCCTTGTGTTAGGGATTTGATTGTAATGACTTGGGATGATATTACTGTTTGATTTTAATCGAATGATGCATGCTTATTGAATTGATTGGAGTCTGATCAGCTTTTCTCGACTTCTGCTGCAACCTGAGATAGATAGAATCTGATTAGGTTGTTAGAGCCTCTTCATTCGATAGTAGGAGATTGGCTATACGAGAGTTAGCCAGTTCACTGCTTTGTACTGGAATTCAATTCCAGTAGTGGAGTTCTGTGTTCATAGCCTCAGCTTTCTATCCCGGTGAAGACTAGTCGTCTGCCGGGTAGTTAGACTGAGAGGGCTTGGTCAGCTTAAGAGATTCCAAGCTACTGTCGGATCTTCCGCAGTCTAATCAACATAAATCAACCCAGGGGAATTACAATTGAACCTAACTAAGGGGCTAGGGGGACTCAATCCCGAGTGACTCTTTCCTGACTTTGAAAACCGAACCATTTACTGCTTTCTTACTGCTTTTGCTTTTAAACAACAATCACTCGAATTAGTTTGCTAGATAATAGAGAATCACGGAGTAAGCAGTAGATCTAGACCCCGGGTTGATAATATAACTTGCCTGTTACTGCATTCCCGGACTGCGATTACACTTGGTCGCAGTTTGGTGTTGTGTTTTGGCGTGTCAAGTTTTTGGCGCCGTTGCCGGGGACCCCTCTAGGTTATTGGGGAAACGTGAGAATTTGTTACTCTAGCTTTTTCTTTATTGCATTTTTCTCTTCCACCTGTGTGCCTT